CCTTCGTCTGTCAAATGTGCTACCGATAAATAATTAATATTATTTATTATTCATTACTACCTATTATAATTTATAATAAAACAACTATATTAATTTTTCAAATAATGAAATGGTTATCAAYATTTTAATCATGATCCCATGGGTGTATCAATTCGATTTACGTATTTATGTATATTTTAAAATAATTTACGTTAATTAAAAAAAAGCATTATTTAAAATATTAAAATTAAAAAAATTGAGATGTGATAACAACCGGTTTCCAATTTTTTCCGATTTCGATTTTGAATTTTATACCGGTATCAAATTTTTTGCGGTTTCGGTTTTTTAACGGTTTATGCCGATTTCTGAAACCCGTTTTGAAATCGRTTTCAGGCCCTGCTAAAAACGGTTAGGTTAAGAATATAAAAAACTTACAATGTATTGACTTTCTGGTAAAATGTTTATTTGTGTGGTTACGAACGCTATAGCACATTATCTTCGCAGCTTCGAACTGGAAATAGGTATACCTACTGATTTTTATGAAATTATTCATTTACTCGAACTAAATATATTAAATTTCCATTTGCAATTTTCGCCTTTTGGTTTATAAGTATTATTATATAATAAATAATCATAAATTCTTATCTAGTCTCAGATTATAGAAATTTACTGCATTCACTGATGACATAGAGCTCTATATAGGTACCATGCCACCATATTTTCAATTTTGCCGTATTCTTAAAAATTTAAAACTTTAACAATTATAAGTTATACTTGTCATACTTGTAGGTTTCTTACTCTTACAACTGTTACTACAATTATGGATCTCAGAGTAATCTACAACAGAGAAAAGCAAAAAAAAAACTAACATTTTGTTATAATTCAAAAAATATTAATAACCGTAGACTTGAAACCTTTTCCAGACTTACAGCTACCCACATATTATGTAGTATGTGTATAATTTTATTTTACTTRGTAGGTAGTTACAACTATATTTTCAAAATATGTTGACTAATTTTAATTATACCTACCAATTAATACCGGTGTATGATTTTTGTTATATGATTTATTCGATGTTTTGGGTAAAAAATAATTCAATCTACCTTATTATAATAGTAGAAGAATAAATAACTGTATCAGTAATTGTAAAATAATTAATTTTTAAAATAACATCCATATGAATATAAGCTGCATCACCAATTTTGATTAATCGTTTTTTGTCCTTGAAATAATGACTTAAATAGTAGGTAGTCAAAAAATTCCATTGCCACTGACATACAATAACAATAACTTATGAGGAACTATCTATTAATTTTTATATCATTATTTAAAGAATCTACAGTGGTTTTTAAATTATAATATGAAAATAACATGACCGATTTTATGAAAAAATACGATGCGATACAAAATTATTGCTTTAKAGTATAAATAAATTTTGATCAAATAATTTACCTGGAAAAATTAGCAAATATACTAGTATTCAATGGTACCAATAGGGCAATAGATATCGACAATATCACACATAGAAAATAATATTTTATATAATATGAATATTGGTTTTTGTATAAATAATTAATTTGTTTATTTTCTATTTATTTGATTAACTACATGACCCGGTGAAAATAATTCTTCAATTTTTATTAAATAAAAAAATTTAAATATGCACCAATTTTTTAAGCTTCGGACTTGTGTTTACCATGATTTAATTAATAGTTACCAGCTATCAACCTTTAAAACGCTTGCTTACGAATTGTGTCCCAGATTTTTTTTATTATAGTACATCTGAATTGCTTCCCCATTACATGTAATATCTAAAATGTTTAAATGCGAAATTATTGGTTATTAATAATATTAGATAACTAATAACTTATTATTGTCAATTATTTTAGTATTTTTAACTTAATGAAAACAATCACGTTAAAAAAAAAATGTTTGAATCGTCAGATTTTCTACACAACAAATTAGTAGATTCATGAGTTATCTTTGAATTTTTACCAATATCATATTACATTTTACTAGAGTTAAAATTACAATATATACACAAAAGCAGTATATGTTTTACCAATAGGCAATAATTTGTATACTTTGTGTACACTTTATGTGATTTGCATATTAATTAAAAACATAGATTACATTTTAAGCTGAGTTAATTATTTTCGTTGCTTTCAATGCTTTCCCACCTTTGATAAAATAAGAAAGGTTTCAATATAACTGTTTACCATTCTAAATTRATGTTACTAATTTTTGTGGATATTTTTCCAAATTATAATACAAAGAAATAATAATTCAGAATCTACATGATTAAAAATTGATGGGTCAACCCAATAATTTCTCTTAATGGACTCGACCAGCCAGAACACTTTTTAGTTAGATTATTGCATTTTTATATATTGCACAGATCAAAATTTAGACATCACATAAAATCAATGATGGGACATTATTACCTGACTGAAAATTGTCGTGGGCAACTGAACATTTTTTCAATATGTTTGATATTTTAATATGGTTATTCATTTGTGAGGGTGTCTAGATGTGAGGATAGGGAGGGGAAAACAAATTAACTGAAAAGAATTCCCACAGTTTATGGTTGATATAGGTCATACTAATTTAGGGGATTAACAAAGATAAGACTTTAAATATTTTGCAGTTTGTTTTATTCTTAAAGGCTTAATAAAATTATATATAAAAAAAAATTATACGAACGAGATTCTTCCCATTACACTTGAATGATAGTAGTAAAAGTATAAAATAAATATAAAAAAAATTCAATATTAATAATATAGTTATTTTATATATATATATATATATGTGTGTGTATATACAGATATACCTACATGTATATATAATTATAAGTGAATAGTTTATTTTTGAGAACATGAATATGCTATAAAAATTAGATAGGAATTATTACTAGTTAAGTTAGCGTTTCGATACTTATCGAAAAGCCAAAAGGGGGAGAGGAAGAAAGTATGTATTGTTTTCAAACAAATACAAAATAGATGTTAACAGTTGAATTTCGTTCTTGTTCGTTTTTTTCACTTAAATAATAAATTAATTTATACACTTAAAAACATAAAATATATATAATAATATGTATAAAATTATATAAATGGTAGAAAAATTTACATCATACAGAGAGGATATTGTCACCGAAATAGGAAATAATGGATTTTCAACGTTTTCATTAATTAAAAAAATAATAATAATAAAATGTTATATAATATGTATAGCTAAGCGGAATTGTATCGAGGTCCTATTWGTCTGGTCCCCATTTAAATTAAAGCATAGGCCCAAACAAACAAACAAGTCTTAACACATAAATAAAATGGATAATTAATTATAATTATTATACTTAAGAGTTATGCGTTAGATTATACCTGAGCTTCAGATTTGTATCCCAGTAATAAATTGTAATATTTTTTAAAACTTTTAAGTATTTTTATTATTATTAAATTAATGGAGTCAATTTTATGAAACATATAAGCTCGACAACATAAGTATTTAAAATTTCTTGTTGACGAGCAAAAAAAATCAGTTCATAAAAAAATGGATTGGTGGGTATTAATTATATATGTTTTTATATAACGTTTACGTAACTTATAAATACATCATGTATGATTATTTTTCGTTTTAAGTCAGTAGTATAATGATGGGTCAAAAGTGTTGGTGAAATCGCTTAATTTAAAATGATGGTGATGAGTCTGCTTCATTGTAACCAGTGCAAATACCGCTCATTTGTCTTCTGGTTCTTTCTCTCCTTCCTTTTTTCCATCACCCTATAATAATATAATACATTAATGATTAGACATTATATCTTACAAGTGTATTTAATCATTAGATTATAATCAATTCAAGTATTACACAGTTTAATCTATAAATGATTACAAATAACTTCCACTCACTTTTTCATCAGATGGTTCTTTAGCTTCTTTTTCAGTATTTTTGTTTTCTGCGGCCTTCTTATCTCCATCTTCCTTAGGCTTTTCTTCAACTGGCGGTGGTTTTGGCAAGTGGCTGTTCAAGTCTAGATTCTTACACATATCTTCCCAATCAGGAAAACACCGTTCCTTAATGCGGTTTGTGTGCTCCACTAAATTTCCAAAATTGTCCACTAAATAGTCTCGTAATTGGCATTCAACATCTTTGTCTAAAAAGAACAATTGAGCCAAGTTTGCAAAAGCCACTACATCCAGCTAAAATTGAAATAAATTCATTATTATAGAAATCTATAACATGATTATTTTTATTTATGAATTATTAAAATATCAATAAAAGAAATTAATTACAGTTGAGGGTTCATTTCCAAAGAAATACAATTTGTCGCCTAAAACATCAGATAAAACTTTAAGATCATTTTGTCCAAATTCCAAAATTTCTTCGGGCTTATGAACTCCAATTCCTTGAGCTTTAACTTTTTTTAATCCCTGTAACAAAAAAAAAAAAAAAAAATTGAACCAATTAATTACATAATATATTTTTTCTGGCACACTCACCTTTCGGCTATAACTGTGCTTGAATAAGAAATTAAGAACTCCATTTGGAACCCATGTACCAAGCGCATGTTGCAAATTCACTTTGTATCCTTTGATAACATTTTCTGGAGTTTTTGTCTTCCACCATGTTATCACCCTAAAACCATTATATTAAGTAAATTTAAAAGTAAAAATTATTAAAAATATAGATATCAAAATACCAAACAAGTTTATTCTCAATCATCGATATCATAGCATGTGATATGTTACGTTGATCTTGGCTCAATGCAGCATCAATGTCTTTGCCAAATTTCTGACTAAGCTCTTTAATAATTAAAGTACTATCAGCAATTTCTTCGCCATTCAATTCAATAAACGGCAATTGTCCTTTTTTGGAACGGTGCTTCATTTTATGGTCGACATTCTAAACAAAAAATAAAATTTAAAATCCAATAAACAAAATAAATTCGTATTTAATATAATTTTTATTTTGTTAACATAAATGCTACAAAAAAAAACCATTCTTCGTCTGAAAATGTTAACAAAACAATAAAAGGTTAGCCTAATTTTGTGTCTGCACCATGAGAAATCATGATTTTCATATTATATTATTAATATAGCTAATAGAGGTATTTCTGGGCGTATCTGCCAAGAAATATAGGCCTTAGAGCTACAGCATATCATTGGAAAGTTAATGCATTTTCTAAATTCTAAATTAAGGTCAAAAAGCATAAGAACCACTTTTTAGTCACCCCAGTATTCAAGAAATGATGAACAAGTCACCWAAAGGWAAAAAAAAAAACTAAAATAAAAACTGACAACATAAATGTTTAAATAAATACAACAGGCCGAGTTAAGATTGTCTACGACTTGTACATAACATGTTGGCAAACTATGTAGACATAATTTCAAGAATAAAGCACACCCTGTTGCATAAATAAGCGAGTTCGTGTGCGACGCCCAAGTAATATTGTCGGCGGCAACAGCAATACGAGAAAATCCCTTACATACCACTACCACAGTACCACCCGGTTTATTGAACTCCCGAGTCGAGGAATACCACAAGCGGTCGTCATGGCGACGGCGACTAATGGTGTGGGGGTGAGGTCGAGGAGGAGTTTATGGTTCAGACGGCGACAACTGTGTTATTGATCTCTTCGCCATTAGTGCACATACACTACCCTATCGTACAGCAAAACTCGGCTAGAAACATATTTTTAAAAATAAACCCAACACAAAATAGTAACTCTTTCGTTTTACTCGGGTTTCGATATTTTGATAGGATTGAAAAATTACAAACACACGCCCAACTTAACTTTATTTCTACGACAGATTACTGTTGATGAAATCGGTGGAGTAAGTGTTTCCACCACCAGGCACCGTCAAGCACTTAACTGCAGTAGTGTAGCGCCGTACACTAAAATAAACTCAGCCCACGTCGAATTTGCCTAACTTTAGACGTCTGCGATAACCATTCCCAATCTTATCATTTTTCAGTAATTAAACTATCCAAAATCGAAACAACCACTACTTACACCCAGTACGTTAATATCAAATTATTTTTAAATACCAACTGTCGAATGTCGCTTAGGGTGGTAAGCCGTTGTATTCATCCAAAGCACATCATGTTAAATTATGGCTTTAAAAATGATAACCACTGTTTTTCGGCGATAAGTGAAGCACTCAATTAAACAATCATCGATTATCGGATCCAAATAATTAGTAATTTAAAGGCACGCTTGGTGCGTCATTATTTTATTATACTTCTTTGTATGAAGGAAAATGTATATTAATATTTTATTAGAAAGGTCAAAGTTTCGTGTAACTCGCACGATCAGTAAAAAAATCATACAATGGAATGCGCGCTGCATTCCACGTGCTACGCGTATTCATCATAAAATTATTATTATATTATTAAAGTCACCCGTATTAAAGTCCCCCTCTGCTGCCTTATTATCGTTTGTGCTACACACAATAATACCATCTATTCTGTATCATGCTTCCGACGATCGAGATCTATAACACAAGACCTATAATTAATAATATAAACATGTGCGCTTCCCAGAAGTAACGAACAACAAGAATGATAAATACACATGAACTCGAATCGACTTGCCGGAATTATAGTCGTGGGACTATAAATGTTATTCGAATAGAAATAATTGTAATCAGTAATCACTATTCGGTAATCATCAAATTCACTATGATTCGGTACCATTCTACATAAAGTTAAATTATTATCTTCCTCTTCCATGGGCCATGGCTGTCATATTCATATACTACCAAATATTTCAGTTTGACTTAAATCAAAAACTCGGGACAACGACAATCTGATTTTTATAATAGCGAGGAATGTCGATGTTTAAGTGAGCAACGACGCTAACAAGAAATGTTGTGTTTAATTGATCAATGAATAAGAGATGGTAGAGCGGCGGCAAATGAGGAACGGCGAGGCGTATATGTTCACGATAACGAAACGGAGATTATTGTCGGCGGACCTTCTCTTTCTATCTGCAGTACTCTCAAGCACACAATGAACGACCATGGTATTATATCAAAATCGTGTACATGATATCAGCATTGTTATTAACTTATAATCGACACACAGCGGATAAGAATACCATTAATTTTTGTCGGTAGCGGCGAAGGAGCGTGGCCATCTTAATAAGGATGTAAGCAAAGTGAGCTAGAATATAATATATACTTGCCACGCATACGATACAAATTATAAGAGTAAGTATGATAAAACTAATTAGGTTTAAAGAAAAATTTGTGAAAAGTGTCGATTTAAAAATATTAACTTTCAAGGACTGATGCATCGATTAAACTTTGAGAGTCCAGGCCCAGTCAAGATCCCGCAAGGCAGCGATATATAAAACATTATAATAGTGACATAATAATAATATGTTTGATGATTACTCAGACAGATATACTACTACATAATGTTATCTACTAAAACACCGGCACGACGCGAAATAGCGAAAACTTTTACTCACACGCGGGATGACAAAACAAAAAAAGCGCAAGTCTTTGCTGATGTTTTGAGTGTGGGAGAGGAGTGATTTGTATTACTCGTAACAAAGATTATAATACAATTTTATATGATGCATGCCATAATAATCTACTTATATGCGTACATTGTAATTATACTATGTSGAAGGTACGCGGCGCTCGCGCAATGCCATGTGAATATTCAAACATTTTATAATGATTCAATGCAACACTACAAAGTCTGCAGCGTGCGGCGGCGGTAGTGGCGCGGAAATAGAAGTCTCGTACACCGCGAGTCCGTGCCAGTTTCCACCATCGCCAACAGGTTTCGCGCTATCCAGACGTACGAGGCGGAGGAATGCGAGAATATGCGATACGCATTTCGTAGCCACCTTAATAAAAATTAAAAACCCGACGTTCATAGAGCTGCATGCATAATCGTTTTTATAAACAATATTAATCAACAACAATTACACAATACAGCAATACTCGGTAGTTATAGTAAGGCTAAGACGTTTCAATAACTCGCAAAATGCCCGCGAAACACTGCGTTATATCCGGCAAAAGACAACACATGCTGGGATAACAATAAAATTATTATGCACACAATGCACTATTGTGGTGCATCGAGCGCTGCAGCACATGTCCACGCATTATGATGATACACGCGAGGAATAATTTCGTCATTCACAAGAGAAGGGGTATATCATCATTATTATGACACGTGCGTCTATATTTTACAGTTAAAAACTGTATAACAATATACTATGATTGTGTTATGGACACAGTATCCATGTAGAATAAAAAAAAATTCCCAACGCGGAACAGTGAAAAAAAGACTCCGTACGCGTACGGGATGTTTTCAAGATACCCTGCAGTCTGTAAATAATAAAGAACATACGCGTTTTTATTACATTTTATAATATGCGTTTAGGAGATTTGGAATATAAAAAAAATARTTTCGATAATATAACATTTTTATTTTCATATACAAAGGATGGTACTACTATTATCCGTTGAAATTGAAAAAGTGTAGTACAYGTGTTTTAGGATTTTTGTATAATATAGTATATTATCGTATAATAACTTGTAGTTGGTTGTTTACATCGATAAGGAATGTAGCGTAAATATTCTATATTCTATAATATTAAATAAAATAATATGCATATTAAATATTACGCTTATGAAGCATTATATTCAACCAATCAAATAAATACTGGACTACAGCGGGCTCGTAAAATCCAAGAAAAAATAAATTAATATTGAACAMAAAATGGATCATTTCACAGTTAATTATCGCAATGACGACGACGTTTATCGGCTGCAACAGATTTTTTGTAGTAATACAATTTTTGATTTCCCGTTCCTTCTACGCAGACGGGATTCTCTTAGGAAAATGAGTATTGTACAATACACGCTGTAGTGATTTCACCGGATTTCTACTCGTTAAAACGTTTCCAGCACTTACAGTGAAAGCGTGTAATACATGGTAAATATAAATTTATAAACATTTGTACATCACACTTATTTTATACATTTTAAAATTGGAAAACCCACGGTGYCAGTTTTCATAAAGATAAAATATATATTTTCTATCACCGCCAACACTGAAAGTGTGTACAACGCACAAATTTTGAACTTCTAGATAAAAATTCACTAACCAGTCTATAATAAAAATTATTATTTTATTGCGTATTGAATTACCAATTGACCAACTACAATTTGAGCTAGAAAATTATTTATAAAACATTTTAATTACTTAGCAAGCCACCCGTATTTATTCCCGCCCATTAGAAGTTTTATCACAAACCAATATCGAACAATTATAGCGAGCGGCGATTTTTATAGGGCATTAGGAATTTCAACTATCGTTAAAGATAAAACTCGAACAGAAAAGCCGTGAAAAAGTTCTCAGTAATGTCCTTCCAACGTAAATACGAAATAAAGCTAATAATAAATCTTTAACAATATTATGGCCGTTTGATGAATGTCCATGGTAGGTCGGTATATRTATATAAGATATAAATAAAAATGTACATTACAATRAATATTAATCTACAACRGTGACCATAGACTAAATAATAGCAATCACTAGTTTAATAACGATAAATTAACATTTTTAACATTCATAATCGTGTAATGAACGCAGAAAGGTAAAAAAAAATTGATAATATTTCTTGTCAATGAACAACTTATTCATCAAGCTCTTTTTTCTAAGTTTTGACTACACTAAAGGACTAAGAGAGTACATAGCACAATTAACAGGTTAATAGTTCTATAAAATATTGTTCATAATTTGAATTCAGGACACCAAAATAAAAATATATCATGCACATGTCAAATTGTTTAACTTGGACAGAAACACGTGCAACCTTGTGCACATGTGAAGAATTGTAGTTCCCATGCTTTTTTGTACAAAGATGAACAGTTTTACCTCCAATTCAACGATACACAAACATGAATGTCATGCTCATTAAAATAATATATTGTGGTACCTAGGTAATATATATTTATATGTATTAAAATACAATATGGGAGCAAGAAGTTGACTAATAATTAAGAAAAGTAAAACAAGTAGATATAGTTGCAAATATTTGTTAACGATCTTAGTCATCATTATATCAGTTTTTATTAGTTATCATTAATAGGAGCTAATCTCAGTTTAAATATAAATTAATAAAAAATTCCAAAAGTTTTCATTAAACACATGAAAAAAACTATAAAATGTGAATCCATTAAAATCAAATTAAAGACCATTTAAAATAACTACAAACTTTATGGGAATATATAATTGAAATATATATAAGTAATCTGATTTTAATTATTTTGAAGCAATACCTAAATCAATTTAARTTACCAATACAGATAAAAAAYAAATTCATCAAATTCTGAAATCGATACCTACTACACATTGAAATTGTACAACATATTTTTATTTTAAATGAGGTCGAATTTAATCTAGAAATCAAGGGACATAGTTGAATAATTTATTTAAAATACCTATGTATAATATATTAATACAATAACCTATAACGATTATAAAGTGGACATTCATTTTAAATAAAGGTATTTTCTTATTAAACATATACAAACRTTTGATTTAAGATAATTATTAATGCAAATACAATAGTCAATAGTGAGTTATGTTTGCTATGCATACCCATTAATAATTAAGAAGTCCATGTACCACTTTATAAAATCAATTTGTTCTATCTTACTTTTTAACTGGATTATTAGATTTCTTTAACATGTCAAATATGGCTGTTCCACTATTATCATTATTTTTTATTATCAAAAGGTGATAGTTCAATTTCCTACCAATTAAAGATTTTCTGCTCTTTATCTAGTTCATGTTTAATTAGTTCTACCAAAAAACTAGATAGTGTGCATAAAATATGTGTCTGAGTATACAATATAATGTTTAATTGGAATTTCTGATGAATATTAGATGGTTTTTTTTTACATCTCGGTAAAATTTTAAAAMATAATAATAATACAAAAATAGGTATAATTGACAAATTATGTTATCATCAATAAATAATATAAAATAAACTATTTACCTATCAAATTAAATAAACTATCATAAATAATTGATCCATACACAGGAAATGAGTGCTCTTAGATTATTAAATATTATATGGTACATAACTGTATAGTTACAATAGGAAATATACCATAATATATTAGGTATAGTAATATAATATTATTTATATACCTTGTTCTGTATTATAAATCATTTATATTAACTTCAAAAAAGAAAAGTACCTACAACTGAAGTTATACTTTTAATCACTTTTTTCAAGTTTTCACAGTCTTGGCACAATACCTATCCTTTCTATCTATGCAAATATTTWAATAGGCATATGATGAAAATATGAATATTAGTTTTTATATATCATACAAATATTAAATTAAATTAAATCTTAATTACCTATTTAGAAGTTTCAAATTGTCCTTTAAATAATCGGTAAAATAACAGTCGTTTCCAATGGAATTTAGGAAAAAATATTGGTTACTAAGTATACGTGCATTCAAATCATTAAGTTAAAATTAAATTAGATTTAATTAGACTTCACAAATTAAATGATCAGTCAATTGTTTTACAATCAGTAAACTTCGGKTACAAAAATAATATTAAGGACTTGCCAACTTGGGGTAGCATAACCGAAGAGTAATGTGGATAAAAGAGAAAAAGCACCTAGGCACTTAGGTGACTACCCCCGAGGACGCAAGGTGGTACTTAGAGAAGTGAGTGGGGTACAGTGCCTAAGTTTGGAATAGAGCTGTATAGTCAAATTACTAATAGGTAAGTACAATGTAGCGAGTACTTGCCTCGTATTTGAGTCCAGCAAGCCTGAGCCATGTCTCCACCTTGAGGCAATACGGTGACATGGACGGGATGACGGGCGTGCGCGAGAACTGGTACAGGTACACGACGTCCTTCTCAAAGTTCTGCTTCTTCACGGAGAACTTTGGCTGAGGTGGTTCAGCCGGAGCGGCGGGCGTCGCTACCTTGTCGTCCTTCTCCGCCACTGCTGGTTTCTTGTCGCTGTTCTCCGTCTGTTTGTTGTTGGTTTCGGCTACGGCGTCAGCACCGTCCTTTGCCGGTTCCTTGACGTCCTGCGGGACGTTCTTAGTCTCTTCCGTAGTCGCCGTAGTCATTTTGCTGATTCTTGTGTTGAGTAGTGCTACAGTGATTGACTTTGAACTGGTTTGCGCGGCGCTACGTCTGCTACAAGGGGTTGGAGGGCGGTGTAAACGCGCTGCTCTCTATGCACAGCGGCGGCGACGACAGTTAAAACTCTACATAAAAAACAAACGACGAGATTATAAAATTATTTCATATTTTATTATCCCGTTCAAAGGCGTTTCTGCACACACACGCACACACTCTCACRCATACAGACAGACACACAAACACACACTCACACAAGCGCACACGAGAGCTAAAAGACGTGCGGCGTATCAAGAGAACAGCGCACAAATAATGTAGTGCATAAATGTGTAAAATATGAAACGTTAATGGAACGCGCGTCTTTCGTCACTCGATGTGCTGTCCGCAAACGGACGTGGGGAGGTTAAAATTGAAGAAAAAAAAAAAAATACGAACGAAATACAACAGAAATCAAGTAAACACGTACCGGCAGGAAAAGGACGCGACTTCGAATGCACGAATGACAAGCCGCGGCGGCGGCCGGAGCACGGGTCGGTGCAGCCGGGTATCGCGTTGGTCAAGAGTGACGCTAACCCGGCACGCACGCGCATCGCGAACCACTTTTGACTAACGTGCGGCTGCCGCACCGCGCCGCCACGCCCTTTCCATCGACGAAGCCGTTGCCGCCACCGGCACCACCACCGACCGCTACGAGTCTGCCGCCGTACAGTGTTGTTCTATCGCAGGGATATAATATTATTATTATTTCACCGCCTCAAAAAATGTGAGCCACTCATACGGCGTTTTACACGGTACATTTTAACGGCCTTTTACTTTTGGTCGATTCGATTTTCGCATCGGAATTGACTCGAACGGCGAACGTGGTTTTTTTCCACGTCCAGCAACGACTAAAAAATAATACTATAATTTTTAATACGACTACTACCAATAATACACTTAATAATAACCACTACACGTCATACGATCTGGTGGCGGCGACGACGCATGTGTTTTCTCACGGCTTTCTAGACGCGCCCTCGTCCCTTTCACAGACGATATTTTATTAATAATAAAAACACTGTGCGACGGGTAGTCGCCGCCACACCAAATACCAACAAAGAAATTAAACAAAAAAAAAAACAAAAACAGAAACTACCTTTGACACTTGTTGACCTGTGTTGGTGGCCGTCTGTCCGAACGTGCGCAAGGAAAACTTCATATCAATACATGTATATGACTTCGGTATAAAATGTTCATGTTTGTATAACGAAGGTTTACYCTCTCCTACCAATTACCTAATCCCTTTGTCACAGTCTTCAGCATATCATATGCGCTCCACGGCTCCACCACTGAATGTMTCGAGGTGTGCTCATTTTTTCCACGTTCTYTAGATGTTATCCTGAAACCTTTTTAGGTAATCAAATCGATTATGGATGATATGTTTTTGGTGCATCCTGTTTAATATGTGTGTGATAGTGAACAATATTATAATTATAAATAATATTTATATCTTATACCTAAGTCCTATACATTAAAATCATTTATATTTTRGGTTGTATCACTTGTAATATCAATTCAAATGATGTTGACCGTTATAGTGAACATAACCAATTGGACATTGATTTTCAAAGCGCACTCCACCTTGGAGCCCCTTATTATGATCCCTTGATGAGTATATGAGAAATTTAAAATTAGTTATGATTAAATATCCGGATTTTAGCTAGCAACAATTCCTATGCATTATGACTACCTGTCTATTTTATCTTCGCAATTAATGACAGGACAGGGGCGGATCCAGTCTGAGATTATGGGGGGGGAGGGGGCGAATATTTCACATACAAAATAAAACTGTCGTGGTCGCCGTCATCGATAGTTTTCTGGGATAAAATAACCATTACTTTGCTAAAAATGAACGAAAATAAAATCCGATTACTCCGTTGAAAAGAAGACATTTCACTGAATAACCACGTATATAAACGGAAGAATTTCTCTGATAACCGAGTAAATTATATGGCCATATTTCCATAAAGATGCCTATACAAATTGACAATTATTGTCGACTACCCGTCGACCGCGGCACGTGTTAAAATTAGTTTTGATTCTTTTTACTGGAAATTTTTCCTAAACAAAACGCAGCTTACGGGGGGGGCACCCCCTCCGCCCCCTACTGAATCCACGCCTGTGACTTGACTATATATAATCTAGGGGGAGATTGATGCACATGCACTGCTATATAGTTAACTGTAATGCGTCTGATGAAATACGAAGATACTCAAGACTCCGGAGATCAGCATTCGAGAAGACATTGAGATGTAAAAATTGTTTTTCCGATGACAAATCATCATGACATTATAAGGGCACGAGATAGTTCAGGAAGCAATACAGTAAAGAATTAATAATTTTATTTAAGTAAGAACGAGAACGCTTATTTGGACAATAAAGCAGAGAAACTGTGACTCAATAAAATGATTAACTCTCGTACGCTTTTTTATATCGTAATTCAAAATATTATCTATTCTTCAATGTACACCGTACAGCGTTTTTAAACGTGTATACTGTACAAGTACAATATTATACTTTATCGACTTTTGTGTTATTTTTATTTTTTTTTTGATAACGTTATCTGAGAAGGTTTCTCTAGTAAACCGAAGTTAATCATTATTAATAACTACATAATACATAACAAATCCTAAATTTCAAATAATTTATTAATGACTAACTGAGTGTTTATGAACTTATAAAGTGGGTTACAACTTACATGTTTACAGCCTTTGATGATTAATGAGTAATGACATATACATGCGTATGCGACAGACATAATACTATAAATTTAAGTATAAAATATTCAAGAGTTCGCCTTATTTGCATATCATACGATACGCTATTCATATGCACAAATGTATGAATAGATATGCTTATAAATATGTATCTTGGTATAATATGAATAGTACTCGGCATTCGCATGGTTAATATAATACTTGAGTACTGAGGTTATAATGATTGTAGGTATAGGCTAGCTATTACTGTTTACTGTTGAGAAGTATATTGTACATAAAATACATATTATGTATAAATGCGTAATGTTTAGGTACATAGGTTAGGTTAGATATATAATATAGAAAATTGAAGTATACAAACATAAAAATATTTTTCAGAGGGATAACAAAGTTTTTAATTATTAATTATATAATATATTAATCAGTTAATATAATAAGTATTTAGATAACTTTTAACATATTACTACAAACTGTAGTGWATTACTGTAATATCTTCAATTAGTTTAATTTATACCTATTTAAAATGGGTTCAAAACAATAAATAATTCATCTGATTCTCTATTTAATTAACATCTGATAGAAAACCAACATCTGAAGCCGTCCAATAGATATTCATTCAATACCAATTACTGAATATTTAAATAATTTTATTATTTGTTCAATATGAATTTATTAGCTTACATTTTTAATCATTATTTAAAGAACAATAAATAATGATAATATTGATTTTTTTAATATATTAATGAAATTATATTTGGTTATTGCCATCATTGAAATTGGTGGCTATTCTGGTACACTGATTTTAATAAATGTTATAAATGTATCAAAAAATATACATTTCAAGATAAAATAGAGRTGATAAATTGTATGCATAATTAAAATATGATATATATTATATTATAGAATATAATATATTATATATATCATTAAACTACTAAAGCCAGATACTTATATAATTATTAAATATTAAAAATCTTCGCTTTGAAAAAATTTAAAAATTTAAATTTAAATTTAAAAATCTTTAACTTTGAAGTTAAATATACCACAAGTTTAGATTATATATGTAAAAATACAACCTTATTTAAGTAATTGTAAAGTTACTAAACATTTTATTTCAATGATTTATTCTGTTTGATTTCGTTCCAGCGATTAGCGATATATTTTTAAAATTATAAATTATATACTGCTCTCTGTCCCGTTTCAAATTAATTAAAAATTGTAATGTGCGTTTTAAAATGTCGAACTTGTAACATGAGTAATATATCTCAATACTCATTGATCTACCATTTATATAATATTTCACATTATTATAATTGTTTGGTATAAGTACACCGTATTGTAAAAACAAATATTTCTTTACAGTGGCGTGTCCAGCGAGCAGGTAAGCCCGGGTAAGCCCAGGCGTACTCTAATTTATAATCTTTATAACAACCCCAAAATCTGCATTTTTTCATTTAAAAAAATAATTTGTATGTTAACACACCGAACACTGAAATCTGAATGTGAAATGTGAATACATCAGCGTACTGCGATGGACACCGGTGCCCGTATCGATTATATTTTGTGGTGTGATTAATCTATCTTTCTGTGGCTTGGTGTGGCGGAGTGGTTGCATTCAGTTACAAAACGTGTATTTAGTGCAAACATTAGCCARCGCTATTAGTTTCTGGATGGCCAATGGGTGRCTCAATAGTATGTCGAAATTTGATACATTTTATTTATCTAAAAGATGCATGAAAACTTTTTTCAGGTCAGATCAGAGCCCAAAATTTCATTTTACTTTAAATAGTACTAAAAAAAATACATTTGAACAAGAACAAATATTGTGCATTACTCAAATGCATATTTAAGCTTCTATAATTATAATTTTGAAAATCGGACTTTGGTCCGACCAGTAAAATATTCTTTTATTCTAACTTAAAAAAAAATAATGAAATCCGTTAACTATACAGGTCATGAGTGTTTTTTCTGTAAGACATGCTTTTGTACTAAAAAATAAAAAAACACACCGTGGCTCTGATGCTCTTGATATTATGATTGGCTATACGTATATCTTTCATTTTAAAAGTATATTAAAAATTCCCTCATAAAAAATTTAAAAATTTTTTTATAATCAAGCATGTTCTGAATTTTTATCCTGGACATTCCTTTTTTTCTTTGTGTGCAAAAAACTGAACTGCTAAGGTTAATATTGAATCTAAAATGTATTTTAAGTCAAACATAAAACGTTTACATAAATTAAGTAGTTTCTGGGACCGTGAATTATAGGAATCGTTAAATATATGTATATATATATGTGATAGAGAAATTTTTATTACCCTATTTCCGCCAACATAAATTTAATTAAAAGTTGATTTAATCATTTCAGTTTTATACGAAAACTACAGCAGTATATAATAATCAATAAGTGTAAAATTATATAAATGCAGGCCTATAAAAAAAAGAAAGACAATGACKGTTTTTAATTTTTTTTTTATAAAATTATAATTTTTTAGTTAAGAAAAAACAATATTTTTCACTTTATGAACTATATAGATGACTAGATAACATGAAATATTATATACCTATGTAAAATATAAATTAATTTAAATTATACAATACACGAACTTTTGCGATATGATAGTGTTCCAAAAAACTTCCTGGAAGCCGTTTAAATAAAGGGCTACTTTTAATGTTTCTAAAAAGATTAAAAWAAAATAAACATTTATTTTGTTGTWTTATACTGTTGTAGTTATTGCACACGATGAACGACATTACGACAATGTCACGCTCACGATAATATATTTCATATACAAATCACAGATTATTTTATA